AATTAAAAACATAAAAAACCATGGCTATCTGAACAGCGCATTGTCCGGGCATAGTTAATTTTAAGTAAAGGTGCAACAATAGCAATAATCCTACTAGTAATCCATATTAATCGTAAAATAATAAAACAATTAGTTCATCCATCTTGCAATATTTTCAATATAGATTTTTATTATCTCTTTGAATTCTTTTTAAATTCCAACCTCCGTTTTTGTTAGATCACCACTGGTAAAATGGTAAGGGATTGCGGTGGCTCAGTGGCTAAGACACTGAGCTTGTCGATCAGAAAGGTCGGCAGTTCGGTGGTTCAAATCTCTAGCGCTGCGTAACGGAGTGAGCTCCCGTTATTTGTCCCAGCTTCTGCCAACCTAGCAGTTCAAAAGCATGTAGAAAAGTAGAAAAATAGGGACCACCTTTGGTGTGAAAGTAACAGTGTTCCGTACGCCTTCAGTGTTTAGTCATGCCGGCCACATGACCACGGAGACGTCTTCGGACAGAGCTGGCTCTTCGGCTTTGAAACGGGGATGAGCACCGCCCCCTAGAGTCAGGAACGACTAGCACATATGTGCAAGGGGAATCTTTACCTTTATCTTAACATGATAAAAATGGTAAAATATTTCCATTGTTAAGCAAGCCAATTGTTAAGTGAGTTTTGCAATTTTCTGGCTACAGTTGCTAAGTGAATCACTTCAGTTGTTAAGTGAATCATGCAGTTGTTAAGTAAATCTGGCTTTCCGCATTGACTTTGCTTGTTGGAAGTCAGCTGGGAAGGTTATAAATGATGATCACGTGACCCCTGGACAGTACAACTGTCACAAATGCTTCTTCTACCCTGATACTGTAAATAAAATTCTTTCTTGAGTTGAGCTCAACTCCTGGTTACAACAGGCCTTGGCACATTGCTCATTGCTCTACTTTTTCCCCACACTGACGTCATCAGGAGCCTCAATAATTTTACACAAAAGGCGCCTTCAAATGCTCTGCAGCTGACATCATCTGCCAGCAATGCCCTTCTGGTTTCAGCAGGAGAAACATTGCGCAAATGCCCCCCGGCAAGATTTGCCAAAATGTTCAGCAATATGTCCCCAATTCTTGAGAAATGTAAACAGATACCTGGCACATATTACCACCTATGGTGGATCTGTATAAAGGCAAGGAAATTTTGGATACAATTTCATATGTAGCTAGAAAAAAATGACCGGACAACATACAGAGTTTAAGCCAGAATTATTTTTATTAGGCATTATATCAGATGGTGATGATAAAGGGACAAGATACCTAATATTACCCATCTTGACCGCAGCAAGAATTGTGTATACGCAGCAGTGGAAGAGCGAAAACACCCCTTCAGAAGAGGAGACGATAAAGGAGATGCTAGTCTGTGCAGAAATGGACAGACTAACGCTAAAAATAAAAGATCAAGGAGATACAGAATACTATGCCACATGGGGTAGAGGCTGCCAATGCTTAGAAACATGAAGTAGAAGTTGGAATGCGAAAGAATTAGGTTAGGGGTACATGGAAAGAGACATTAGGTATGTATTAGAATGAATGTAGGTATTAGAATGATAGATAAGTTGACATACTAGAATATGATGATCAGAAATTACTGCTCAACATTAGCACTGCTTAAAATAGTGTGTGTGTATGTATGTATGTATATATGTATGTATGTATATATATCAGTGATGGCAAACCTTTTTCTTACTTGTGCACCATGCCCAAACCAATTCAATCATCCCCGCCCACCTGCACATGCGCGCATGACCCCCCCTGGCATGCATGCATGACCCCTCCCCAGGCTCCGGAAGCTTTCCTGAAGCCTGGGGAGGGTGAAAACGGCCTACTCCGGCGAAAAATCAGCTGGCCAGCATGCATATAGGCGCCGCAGGGAGGAACTACAACAACAATTATCCCCAGCTGTGGCACGCATGCCATAGGTTTGCCATCATGGGTATATATGTTACTTTATTTTTATCTTTGTTTAATGGCAAGTGGAATGCCAGGACAATTACACTGTATTCAATATATTTATATGTAAGCACTAAAAATATATTTTTTTAAAAAATTCACACACTTGGCACCTGTCTCATATTTATGACGGTTGCAGTGTCCCAGGATGACGTGATCCCCTTTTGCGACTTTCTGACAAGCCAAATGAATGGGGAAGCCAGATTGACTTAACCCCCTTGGGGTTACTAACTTCACAACGGCAGTGATTCACTTTAACAACTGTGGCAAGTAAAGCCGTAAAAACGGGGCAAAGTTGACTTAACAACTGGCAACAGAAATTATGGGGCTCCACTGTGGTCCTAAGTTGAGAACTCCCTGTAATATCGCAATATTTCAACCTCCCAGGGAGTCCCACAGCTGATTTTAATGTGACTGTTTTTGGTAGGTGGGATTTGAACAACATGATCAGGTGAGACCTGTTCCTTCTTTCCAAAATAGCTACTTTGAAAGCTCAACAAAGTACCAGTAGGTGTTTTGAGAACAAGGAACTTTACAATCAGTTGAGGAAGATATTGTGGAAGCTACATGTATCAAAAGCTTTCGGGTTGACTCTGAAGGCCATAATAAACTGTTCTGACCCCCCCTTCTCCGTCCAGGAATGAAAGCCAAAAGCCACGTAACTAAAAAGGTTTCTTTTAATCAG